ACAAACAGTCCCTTGTCTCTTTTTAGTTAGCTAATCTCTGTTGGAACACTATAGTTTGCTTCATTGCCCCGTTGGGGAGAAGAAAATGAGCATAAATTTTGCATTCCTAATCTCTACCCACAATTGGTCAGTACAAGTTTGAGGACAAGTCCGTCCTTAGCCGCTACTGCTCTCACATATAAATCGATAATCGCAAAATAGCCATGGAAACATGGGCATTTGCTCCTGAGTTGAATGGCAAAAAAAACTCCAGACCTCTGGCCTGACTGAGGGTGGGCCCCGATCATTCTCAAATTTACTCTTGTAACTGAGTAGCTCACTGACCTAATATTATGATTTTATTCTTTACTGAAACTGATCTGGGAATTGGTCCTGGGAATGAGATGTACAGAGGGGCTTACTGAGCTGCTGTTACTGTAACTGACCTGAATTTTCCACCAATAAGTCTCTTCACGATGGTAGTATCCTACAATCCTAAACTACCCTCCGATGTGAAAGGTGTTGGGAGGATAGCTCAGGATTGTAATTTTGTTGTTGTACAATTTTGCTGTGAGTCTCCTTCACCGAGAGTAAAGAGTCTCTGCCACCTGGCCCCATGGCAGGTAAAATATAATAATCTTTGCACTTGATGTAGCACATTTCATGCTGCAACGATGTGTTGGAGGGCTTCACGTATAGGATTTAATGTTAAAATATAGTGAAATGTAAGTGAGTCAGTCCTCCTTTAATTGTGACTCCTATATGTGAGATATTTCTTGTGTCAGTTTCCTACACTTTAGTAAGATCATAATGTATTGCTATTAATAGCATTATGCTTAATTTGTTTTGGGTATAGTAATATCTTGGGATGAGAGACGGGGTGAAGGGTAAGATCTTTGTCTGTCGGAGGCTGTCTTCTTTGATGATCTGTCGCTTGTTGACATGATAGCTAGAGGGGAGCTTCTCAATTCCCAGCAACTTTTCATTACTAATCTTGAGTCCCGCACCCTTGAGCTAATTGTGACCCTATAATTTTGCAATAACCCTTACTGTAGATTCAGGCCCACACATGATCCATGGTCCAGTTGTACTTGAAGCTTCACTGTTGGGAATAGATGTACAAAGAGCAGAGGGAAGATTTCCCATCTCACCTGAGCTGGGTTTGAAGCCAGGTACCAGAGATAACAAAATAGCTTAATGGCCAACGACTTTCCATTTTTGATCAAGGTGCCTGAGCTCCTCCCACTTAGCATTCCATTCTCAACGCTTGTATCCAAGTTAAGTTTTAAAACGAGCAAAGGGAGGGACAATTCACATGGAATGAGTGTTAGTGAAAATGGGTCAGACATCATTTGACCTGAACAACCTAAAATGGAAGGGAGCTTCTCAATTCTGCTATAGTTAATAGTTGCGTTATATGCAGGCTTAAAACCTGAGCCCGAGTCCTTTGAACATTTTATATTACAAAAATCATAATAATCCTTGCATTTGATATAGCACCTTATCATGGCATTGAGCTGTCTCAAAGCACTTCACAGGGTATAATGTAAAGTGGAGTAACTGCATACTTTGTGGATGAACTATTAAATCTGTGCAGGTCACTGGTTGTGAGAATTACATAGGAGTATACAAACAGTGGTTTTAGAAACTTGGACTTGCTGTTCACCTGTCATTGCTCATTATCTGTAGTAATCCCATGCTGTAGGGGTAATAGAGAGCCAGGTCTTGAGACTAAACTGGCAGCCAGAGGTCGACAGGTTAAATTGAAGCTGTCTCTCTTGCTTATGCAAAAATTAATTTCTGTTGAACACCTGCGGATTTCACATGTCACAAAGTAGGCTTGAAAGAAAGTTAATAGCTTCTGTCTGCAGTGCCTCTGGGGAGTTAGGCTTCTTGCACCTGTTGCTGTGTAAATGTGGGTAAGGGCAATCCCTGTCTAAGCGATCCTATGATGTTTCAAGTATAGTGTTTAATATTGTCCTTAATTTTTCATCTCCATGTTGTTGGAAATGACAGTGTGACACAATTTAGGCTTTTTGCACTGCACATTCTCAGAGCTTTGAATCTTATCTTCAGCAAGACTTCACTTCTGGTGAAACACATGGACGTTTGATTAGTGCAAAGATGTGGAAGAATGGGTTAGTGTATTCTAAATGACAGTTCAGTGATTCATTACAGTGGTGACTTGAGATGAAACAACTTGAGAGATGTTCTGCTGATGCTCTGTGCTCTTGGATTTTTAACTGTAGGTATGCTAGCGGATTATCACTGTGTTTGTTACCCTGCCAGCATAAGCTGAAGTGAGTGCTCCTGGCCACCCAGAAGTACTGGTATTCCGTGCCTTTTCCATTCAGGTGTGATGCCAAGCGTTGGAAGAGAAACACTGAGGAGACAAAAGACACTCTGTGATCAAACTGATTCCATTGATAGAACAGTATTCCTTAGTTGATGTTGTAACACGTTTCCCCTATTTGCTGATGGTATCAGATGGAATACTGCGCTCCAAACACGGGTTCTGTCAGATTTATTTTTTAAAAAGAAGGTGCCGTAATGGTCACTTCTCTTAATTCCACTTAACTTTCACTTTCACACCGAGTGCACTGGTTGTTTCTAGCTAAGTTTGTCAAGACCCCAATTCCATATTTTCCTCACATCTAATAGAAATAGGGAAAACTGCTTTCAAAAAAGTATGTTTTTTCAGTCACAAGAAATCATGGGTATTAATACCTGTCACTAAGATTATAAATTATTAGTCAGCCCACCACACAGTGAAAGTGACTTTCTCTTCTTTTAGAAAGAGTATCCCTTCTGGCTGAGGATTGATTGCAACATTGTTAGGGCAGGATCGGATGGAGAGATGCTCTATAAGTTGACAAAACGCAGAATACTGCAGATGCTGGAAATATGAAAGAAAAACAGAAGTCGCTGGGAACACTCAGCAGGTCAGGCAGCATCTATGGAGAAAGGAAAGTGAGTCAAAGTTTCAGGTCCACGACCCTTCGTCAGAACTGGGGCATGTTGGGAGGGAGAGGCTTTTAAGGGCTAACAGAGAGAGGGGGGGCAGGGCAAGGAAGACCAAAAAAACATGGCTCCTTTTTGCTTTGGTCACGTCTCTCCTGAGATTTCGTTGAGAGATTAAGGGAGGAAAGTACAGGAACAGGAAAATGTCAAGTTATTTTCAGTTTTGCATTAAATGATGCTGATGATTGCTGCCTGGAAGTGAATTAGAAAGCAATCACCTAATTGAGGGGTTCTGTTTATTCCATAAATCATGGGAAATTGGTTGCCCTTATTTTTAAGACTTTCATAAATTTCCTATGTTACACTGCGTACAGTAAAGAACAAGATTCAGGCCTCTGTTGGTGCCGTTTGAAATCATCATTGTGGACTGCTGGGACGTCAGAGCCCTACTCTGTTTGTTAACCTTTTAAGTTCTGCATCGGCAGTGTGTAGATAGAACTTGCTGTGTCAGGATGAGGGAAGAGGCTGTGTGAATGAGGTCTGTCAACACATACTAATAATTTACAAGTATTATTTGAAACCTTGGGATGCTTCTTTTCCCAGGTGTGTGTTTCGGCTTTTGCTTTGTGTTTTATTCTATTCCACTGTAGTTTTTGTTTCAAATGCAAATAAAGACTGGTACAAGATGTAAAAATAAAGCATGTATTTGATCCTGTTATGTCTGCTTATGTACTCACTCACGCAGGGCTTTGGAAGCATTGTATAAAGCGAAACCAAATTGAATATTCTGCCTTGTTTAACTCAGCTTGCCCTTTAGAAGGTTGAAGCTAACGTATTTATTTTCATCTGCGCTCAGGCCAGCCATGCTGACCCAGATGTTGTATTCTTGATATATGAAAGTTCAAAGAGAGGTTTTGATGCAGACGATGGGCCAATATCAGCTTTGTTTCTCCAGTTATCTTTAGGATTTGCTGTGGTCTTTAATTGATTTTATGCAATGCACTTTTTTGATTTTAAAATGAAGTCATGCAAAATTTCTCGAATCAAAGTGCAACACACCTGTGTTTTTCTTAGTTGAAGTAAAATATTCTTGCTTTCACCACACTGTGCACTTGCAGTCGTTATTTGATATCAACCAAGAGTAATTACCTTATCGGTTGCATTTGTCGTTGGGAGCTAAGTTTAGTCTCGCATATCTGATTTCTACTCTTTTTTTGAGAAACTGAATCTCTTCTCTGCAGTTGTCCAGGCTGCACTTTGTACATAATCAAGCTTGCCTCCTGGTGGGTGAGAGGAGGAGAAGCATTGAGTATTGTAATTTACTTGGGATTACAATGAGAGGACAATGTATATTGGGGAGGGAAAGATCGAGCATTTGACCATTTTGGTAGTTTGAATGACTAACTGTGTGATTGTGAGTTCTTCTTGGATCGTCATTATTCCCCTTTTTATCCTTCCAGTTACATTCTCGCCAACTCTTCAGCACTTGTAGCTACAAGGATGGAAATAACTTACCAGAGAGTTAAATTGGTCGAGGTTAACAAATCATACTCAGCTTTGGATGTTACTTGATACATTGGCATTGCGATGTTGCCATATGTTGAAAGGGTTGGGCTCCAACTTATGTCAGTAGAACTTTACCCATTCTGCTCAGCGAAAGTAAAACTCTCTATAATAACAAATTATAGAGATGTTTTTACTCGTGCTGAAATGTGTGAGAATCTTCTGTCACCATTCGTAAGAAATTGATGCACTCAATTTGTTAAGATCCCAGGAAATTGCGAAGAGGTGAAAATAACATTTGAGAAAGAAAATTAAAATGGAAAAAAGCAAGTCTCTCCTCACCCCTCCCTCAGCTCCAGTGCCTAGCCATAATTGTCAAGCACTTTGGGATATCCCCTTGACATGAAACGAACTACAAAAGTGTAAATTGCATTGCAAGTCATTCACTTGCTGGGTGGTGGGATGTAGATTGTACAAAACTGTTTCATTAGCTCTTATTAGCTTGGTGTGCCTGTGATGGGCTTTGTGCTTTCTAATCGCAAACCCTTTGTTTACAGATGGATCAGATCTCAGATGAAGATGTGGACCATGCAGTGGAGGAGGACAGTGACCAGGAGGACCAGGACCTCGATAAGATGTTTGGGGCCTGGCTCGGGGAGCTTGATAAACTCACTCAGGTACATAGGTGACAACATTCAAACAGAAATAGGTGGTTTGTGCCTCACCTTTGCTGATACGGACAAGGATTTTGCAACCACTCATAGTCACCCTTGTCGTCATTGTAATCTGTTATCTTTTCTATTATTGTTACTGATTTGAATTGTAAATTGAGTTTTATTAACCACAAACTCATTGTTAAACCTATTGCATTATATTGATAAAACCAAGTAACCCCATTGTCTTCAAGAATGAAATATACCACCTGTTGCTTGCTTATAGCTTCTTTGTAGCATCAGACAGCAGATAGCTGAGCAGGAGACAGTGCTCTGAGAGTTAATAAATGTTCTCTAGAAGTGAGACAGCTTTCACTCTCCCATTTCTCCTCTTTTCTCTACCCCACCCCTCCACCCCCGCATTAGCCAAGTGAGACAGAGCAGTATTAGGCCCCTTTTCAGAGGAGAAACTGAGGCCACTTTATCCAATGACCAACCCCTGCTGGAAGGTGCACGTTTGTGGATGTAGGAGAATAGAAGTGGCGTAACTGCTATCGGTGAGAATAGAATAGCCTCCTAACGCTCGATGCTGGTGCTCAGACATAAGTTATCACCACTTGGGTTCAGTACTGAGTGCCCGTGGAACAAAAGGGAGGGGAAAATCTGGAAGAGTAAACTGTGGGGCAAAAATGAGTGATATTGTTAGTATTATTTCACGGCAGTGTGTAATTAGCCACACAATGTGTCAAATAAAGAATATCTGATTGTTTCTCCTTCCATAGAGTCTGGACACAGGAAAACCCGAAGAGCTGAAAAAATCTCCACTTCGTCAAGAAACTAATCTTGCCAACTTCTCGTATCGCTTCTCAATGTACAATCTGAATGGTAAGGCAGGAAGTCATTCAGAGTGAGCTCAGTGTCTTGGTTTTATGGCCCAATGAATACTTTAAAAATTCCTTTTAGTTAACAATCCTCTAGCTAATTCTTCAAGGCTTACGTATGAATTTCTCTCATTCTTTTAGCTTTCCTTACCTGCAAACAGTAAGGTTTGCTGAATGGATTTAAGTTCCTTCACCATCCAATAGCACTGTAAAATTATTGGCACAGTATTGATTGAGTTTATGATGTTCACTCCTGTCCATTGCTGGCAAGTATAGTTTCTTATTGCAATGCTAGGCATCCGAAGCATTTCTGGCCCACTGCTGTTGAGGTTAAATCTGTTATATCTGCATGTTGTAGATCAGTTCCAGATTCCTCCAAGAATGGACAAATGGAAAATTTGAATCGGCTTGTTGTTTGATGTCTCATTGTTTAGCTTCAGACACTGATTTTAGTAAACACTTACAGCTTTGTTATTGAATGTGGCCTTCCTCCCCTTAGTGCAGCCCCTTTGGTATTTTTCCAGACTGCTTCAACCCCTGAGCTGTGCATTGCCACTCATCATGAACCAGCACCTCTGGTAATGACTGTGATCCCCTTTGTTTTCATGCGATTGATTTTTTTTTTGTGGATTTTTTTTCTTCGTGTTTTTCTCCAATGTTGCTCTCCTTCACCCACCTCTGCTGTAGTGTTGGGCTCTGAGATGCATGAAGGGTGCAATATAAAAGGAAGTTGTTGTTGACTGGCTCCTTTACAGGTGTACAGTTCCACGGTCGTAGGTCCTTCTTTTGCCATTTTTCGTGTGCAAGCCTTGATGGTGAATTTCGGCAAACCTCAAGGAACATGCCAGCTGAGCCCGATCCTATCCTCATGCCCATCCTCAGTCCTGGCTGATATTTTACTTTGCTAAATATAGCTGAGACCAACAGTAGCATCCTTATTGCTGAATTAACTTTTAGAAAAGTGGTATTTTTCTTCATATCACAGACCTCAAAGTTCAAGCCCTCTAGATTAACTTCATTGCTTGAGAGATTGTTTCAATGACTTACCTATGGTTGTCATCCTCGTCACTCTCAACAGGCTGGGGAAGTGTATCCCCAGCAATGCCTACATTGATCGGCTGAACTATGAAGCTGCCGTTGGCTAGGAAATAATTGCATTGAGCAGCCTCCTTTACCTGAGACAGAAACTGCTGACTTCAGAAATGAGGAAAACCGAATTTCCATTGCAGGTTGTTGTATGGTGACAGTGCTACAATACACACACAGCTTAAATCTTGCATTCCCCAAACTGGGGTAATCAAATCTGCCAATTTCCTCTATGGGCAAATTACCATCTATAACCAAAGCTAAACTGTCATGCTTTCAATCTCTGATCACTTTTGTACTACTTGGACCACACATTTTTCAGATTTTTCCACTTTTCGCAATAGATCAATCCTGAATTTACTTTTAATTGATTTTCTGTTTGGTGTAACTGTGAATCTTGGCTCCTCTCGTTCCTTACTCCTGTGTTATAACACAGTTTAATATTCTCTCCGTCCACCCACCATGGCTGAGTAGGTAAGCCTTTATTCTGTGAATTCACGAGTCTTACATATTGGGAAGATCCCTGCTGTATGCTGATTTAGCTGATCTCAGCTATCAAGCTGCCACTGGCTAGGAAATAATTGCTATAATTTGATTTAGCACATTATGAGTAAACAGGGAAAATTAGTCAGTATTGTGATCCTGATCACCACTCTGTCATTCCTGACTTGAGTTGCATGTGTCTGGATGTCAGGTGAGAGTTGAATCAAGCTTGGTTGCAACGATAAGCTAATTTGTTAACGATATCCATGGTATTAGTATACATCAGAATGATTGTTTGTTCTTGAAAAACACACACATTTACACTTCAGGGCCAAAATTCTAAATTCCTTTCTCTATGTCATTTCTGCCATACACTGTCTGCTGACCAGAAGGTTCAAGCAGACCTGCTTCCAGATCTCTTAATACTGCTCCTGAGCTCCACGTGTAAGTTTAGACTCAGGCACAAGACTCTTGATTGTTTCTAAGGGTCTTAAATGAAGTTGGTGGCAGACACACTTTATGTATGTTCTCATAGACTTTGGACGCACCACAAAGCATTTTCACATGTTTTTGGACATCCTAGGTCCTCGGGACATCCTCCTGACGTGAAAGGCACGATACAAATGTAATTTGTTGTTGTAGTTTTTGCCCTGTTAACATTTGTATGTTGGGTATTTCAGAGGCTTTGAGCCAGGGTGATGGAGTCGACTTGGACGCTCTCATGGCTGACCTCTGCTCCATGGAACAGGAACTCAGCAACATCAGCAAAGAGCCTTCAAGGCAAGACAGTGTTGTGGAGAAAACATACAAGGAAGAGGTGCCAGGCAAGATGCCAAGCAAAGAAACCAAACCCACTCCAAAACAATCTGCTGTTCGAACGGCCTCCAAGCACGGCAGCTTGAAGGGCTCTCCATTATCATCAAGGAGTCCCAAAGCATTGCACACTAACTTTTCACTGGATGATATTGCTGCACAACTGGAACAGGCTACCCTCAGTATGGACGAAGCAGGACGCCAGGCTAGTACCGTGTCATTTGATGTTAAACCCAATCAGCACAAGAGAACTGGCTCATCTGGAACTGTCAGCGATGCAGATATTCGTTCAACCAGTACCTCATCTAGATCAAGCTTAACTTCCGCCACATCCAGCCAGGATTCTCTGGACATCGACAAGGTCACCCGGCCACAGGAGCTAGATTTGACCCAACAAGGCCAACCCACAACAGAGGTACTCAAAGTTCTGCCTGTTTGTATGTTGGCGTGAGTGACGTGTTGTTCAGTGCAGGTTTGAAAGTGTTTATACATTGACAAGTTAATCAAACTGCAAGTTGATATATTGGTCATACTGCTGTCACTGGTGGTGTGATGGGTTCCATTGTTACCATTTATCTGAGCTGTTGCCTTATTTTCCAGGCCATTCCCAGCTTTCCAAAAAATACTCCTTGGCCTCATGCAGTGACACAGAACTTGGCTGTTAACCCGCTGAGAGTCTGTCAAGTCTTCGAGACTCATAAGAGTCTCTATCCTCAACATAGCACTTTACTGTCCTTGAAGTTTTAAATAGTAAAAATGACTGTTCCTTATAATCTTCACTGCATTATTTCTCAGGATCTGTTTTTCTCCTTTTCTTCCTCTCCTCGTGTATATAAACTGAAAATCTGTTTCCTTTTGTTTGCAATATTCTGCTTAACAGTAACAGAGCAGATGATCCTGTAGCAATTTTCTAAATGAGAACTTGCTTCAGCTGTGGGGTGATCTGTTTCTGATCTATTCTTCTTTCTTGCTAATATGGACGACAGCACATTGTGCCTCTGGGCTCTTAGGAACAAAGTTGTGTGCTCTGCGCAATGAAGTTATGGATAGTTTAAAATATCCTACAATTTGGCATTTACATAATTCTTACGGGTAGATCAAAGCTTATGTCTGGTTAAAAAAATATCCCAGATGAAAGCTCTAATATCTGTCCATCTAAACCATTTGCTCTGAGCAAAAGGCAGCCTGCTCCATCATGATCTCTGATCACAAGTGTGTGTGTGGGTTGTTGGGGGTGTGTGCTATAGAATAAGATATATTCCACTTTTCCAATATCCACAGCCACCAATGCCATTCACTCCGCAACTATCATGGATTAGTTGCGGAGTGAAGCACTGCTGCCAACATCTGCCAAGGTCAACCCCCGAAACTGCCAATATGTCAAAATATAGACAATTTTGTGTTGTGGATTGATGCTCATTAGCTTGAATATGCTCCAAACTCCTCCTGACGATAGTACAGCCAGGTTGGCTCGTTGACAGGGCTTGAAAGGGCAGACCAGTCACTGGGGCAGGGTCTCTTCACATTCTGCTTCTGTTAACCCTGCAAGCCAAAGAACTATCGATTAACGTAGTCCTAGCTGGACAAGCAGGAGCAAAGCTTGCCAGAAAGTGCTCTCAGTGGCAAGCTATGTTGTTTTAGCTGGTTAGACTCCAGCAGTACCCCAACAAACAACTGGGGACCCTAAGCCTTGGATCTTGCCAACCTACGCTTAATGCTTTCTGGAATTGGGCAAACAGGATGGGTCCCTCCAGGGAGCATTTGCATTCCATTCCAATAAGCATCTGAAATTTGCATGTATGAGTGGGATGCATGGAGCTCTGTTAGGTTTGGATATTCTTGAGCTTGCTGATGGCCATACCCATGTGTCAGACACTCAGCTGAGCATAAAAAATCAGTGGCTCAGTTCAGATTAGGGAGCGAACCTGGTCCTTTCTTGTCTGTGTAGTTCAATACAGGTCCAGAGAGTACAGTCACCCTTTGAGTAAGAAGTAAGGCAAGTCTAACTGGGACTGCGCTCCCCATTGGAGTTTTGCCTTACAAGATTGAAAAAACTTTCACACCTTCAGACTCACTGTTAAGGCAAGCAGAAGATCAGTTACTTTAGATTATTCGAAACCTACCCAGCTTGGCAGGCTCCTCACAGCCATTCAATCCCCAGGGAGACCTTCCTTAGGCTGTCTATCTCTGTGATGAGCACAAAGTTCATATCTACAAAACATTAGTACCAAAAAAATGGGGAGGCATGAAACCTAATGTATTGTTTGATCCTCTGGTTAGATCAAATTGTTAGGGTTTGGGCTCCAAATTGTCTCCTGAATACAAACATGTAGAATTACGTCATTTTGTCCAGAGGGATTGTAGGTCTCCTTTGGGTAGATGTGAAGGAAGCAGGAGTGGAGAGAGAGATCAGGATCCTGGAATAAGTTAATAGTCTTTTGTCTTTCGGTCAAGTATAAAGACCAGCAGTGGAGGACACCAGTCAGGTTGAAGGATAGATGAGATCAATGGAAAAGTAGTAGCTAGATAATATAATCCTTGCATTTGATATAGGGCCTTCTCACGTCTTCGAGGCGTCTCATGATGACAGCAAGTTAGACGCTTGAAAGCCTGTAAGTTGTGGGAAGTGAAAATTGAGAAAGGTAAGGAGTTAAATAATAGCCAGGAAAAAGTTGCCTGCTTTGCAAATATGCTAAACTGTAGATTTTGACATATTAGAGAAACCCCAACAAATTATGTTTGACTTGTCCCTCTTGTAATTGGGACAGATGGGGAAAAAATTGGAAGTGGTTTTCAGTGGAGATCAAGTGAATTAGCACACACTGTCGTTTCAGCTCGGGGAGCTAGGTTTGAATCCAGCTCAGACTGGTGAGATGGAAAGTTTTAGTTCTCTGCCAGCTGTAAGGATCTTCAATGAAAAGGACTTTGAGCAGTCTTGACCCACTTCCTGCTGAGTGGAAGTTAAATTATCTGTCTCCCTTAGAGAAAATTGCACATCACATTTTGGGGCAATGGAAATGTATCTTCCATTGGCCCTAGTGCAGTTGGAGGTGTTTTGGTTAGATTTCCCTTTATACTGACAGCTGGCTTTTTAACAACTGGAGAAGTGAAGCATGATCAATAAGACAGAGTCTCTTTCAGAATTCTTTCTTGTCAAAGAACAGTTGCCGGCATTGCTCTTTCATGTTGTTAGAAAATGCTGATGTCTTGTCACTGGTGTGTAGTTCTGAAAAAGTCCAAATAAAGGTGTGTAGTAGCAAAAGATACTGCATTGCTCAGTTTGAAAAATGTCTTTAATAATTCAGACACTTCAGGATTATTGAAATCTGATTCAAGTTGTCTTGATATGTGGCAACATGTTGGCGCTGCCCCATATCAAGTTTAGGATGTGGCATCATACCTAAAATGAGTTCATTGAGTTCCCAGATAGGTCCAACCAGGTGGTTGCAGCATGGCTTATTGAGGGTCAGTTCAAGTACTGTTAGTAGAGCTTGCTTTGACTTTGCCTGTCTTAACGTGGGGCAGTGAAATTGTGGGAGTGTGAAGGGAATATATCTTCAGTGTCAGATGGCAAATGCAGAGAAAAACATGTATAGCTTTTTCAAAAAATCTTATGTACCAGTGGTTGCAAATGGACTGTCAGAAGTAAGATTTGTAATCATTGCTGGACATGCATTAAAAAAAATGAATGCAGTTATTCACCAGTAATACAATTGTAACAGACTGAGCTCAAGTTTAGACATGGGGTTTGAACCCACAACCTTCTGACCCATGTGCACTACCAACTGAGGTAAGCTGACACCTCAGTTTTAACAGCTGACACCTTAACAAATGCACTTAATACAGACAGCTGTCTGTATTGCTTCAGTGTAGTATGTGGTTTACTGAAACTGTATACTATGTGCAGCCATTCTATAGGCACAGTCTGCAGTGAATGTTTCAAAAATAGCTACAATAAGGATGCAAGCACCGTACTGCATAGATGTAGCTCCTAGAGGCTTGATCTTCCCCATTTTATTGTTGTCTGTCGACTTCCTCGTCGACTCTGTAGTTTTCTAAAATCCTTGCACGATCAGGCAAACCATAAAATGATGACTGTCAAATCTGCCAATTTTGACATTTGCGACTGTATGAATTTGATCAATTTTAACAGCTGTAAAATGTTTGGAGATAGTTGAGAGCTTGAAATTATGCCAAAGGGCAGAAAGAGATTTAAAAGGAAATCTGACAACGAACATAGTGAATCATACTGCACATACCAATATGCTTCTAATTTAAAATGCTCATTTTAGATCCTCTCCAACCAAAGTATTTTTACGTTAAAAGAAGTGATAAAATATGTTCCAACAATGGCTATCTTTCTGATTGTTAATCGTACCAAAGCACACTCAGTAACTCACAACAGTAGACTTGCTACTGTGGTTGAATTAAAATTTAATTGAAAAATCTATTGCTTTTCTCACCATAATGGAAAGAATTGACAAATCCAAAATCCTACTTCTTATAGATGTGCAGTGTAAAGCCTTTAGTATGAAAGTGAGGTCAACCAACATTGATAAGGGGATACTCATTCCTGTGGTTGCAGAATCCAAAACAAGAGGATATAATCTGAAAATTAGAGCTAGATCTGTTAGTGAATTGTGAAAACGTTCATTTATTGTGTGTTGTGAGACTGCCCAAGGTCTTGAGGACTTGCAAATGCTTCTGCACTTTACCTTCGATCAGGAAGAGGTGTTTTACAACAGAGGTCTTATCTTACATGTCACAGAGAGATGTGATAGAACAATTAAATCTGCTTGTGGGTCCCAGATTTACCAATATGGGTGTGGTGCTAAAGACCCTTTCACATTTGATTCACCCATTTGCTATCTGTGCTTACTCATTAAGTGCAGTGTTGTTTGGGATTCTTTCATTCAGTGCATTACAGCTTCCATTGCACCAACTGAAGTACCTGTAATGTCTATGATTGGAATATGTTGGCGGAAATTGAAAGGTTCTGAGAAAACAGGTTCTGATCTTTGAACATATTGTTGTCTGAAAATCTGATCTGGACGATTCAATCTAGCAAGGTGGTTAGAATAGAATTTCAAACGTGGTGACAAAATAATACCCGCAGATTAATGAATGCTCAAGTTCTGTATATTTTCGATGATAAAATGAGGGAGCAAATTTGGCCAGGAACCAGAGAACTTTCTGCTTTTAAAAATTCGTGCCTAGGTTTTGAATTCAGTCCTGATGTAGGCTTGAACCTAAGAGACAAGAGTACAACCAACTAAGCCAAACTAATTTTTGACTTTCTTTATAAATGCATGCTGGTGGAATGCAGGTTTGGCATGTGCAGTGAACTCCTTCCCCTTACTACCTTTCAGTTTAAATATTCTCTGTATATTTCCTTCTGCATGATTTTAAATGGGT